AAAAATCGGTGATATTGTTAGGTATGTATGTAATTTTACTTTTATTTTCCACTGAACTACGTAAATAAATAAAAATTAAATTAAAATAATTCATTGTGTTTAAATCATTCTTGATTCAATATTGATCAGGTAAGTTAGAATCCACGCATAATTCTAATGAAACGTATTGTTGCTATTGCCTGTATAAGTAATTTTCTGCATAGTAATAAACATCATCTTAATCTTAATCTCAATTTTAATCTCACTCTCAATCTTAACCTTAATCTTAATTTTAAGCTTAATCTCAATCATAATCTCAATCTCAATTTTAATCTTAATCTTAATCTTAATCTCTCTCTTAAACTTAGTCTCAATCTTAATGACAATTTGAATGTTTATCTTAATCTTAATCCTAATGTTAACGGCAATTTTAATCTTAATCTTAATCTTAAATCTTAATCTTAATCTTGATCTCAATTTTAAGTTTAATCTTTATCTTAATCTTGATATTGATCTTAATCTTTATCTTATACTTAATCTCGATCTTGATGTTAATCAAAATTTTAATCTTTATCTTAATCTTAATCCTGATGTTAACCGCAATTTTAATCTTATCTTAATCTTAACCTTAATCCAAATCTTATTCTTAATCCCAATCCTAACCTTAATCTTAATATTAAACTTAATATTAACCTTAATCCTAATTTTAGTCTTTATCTTAGTCTTAATCTTAATTTTGATCTTAATCTTAATCTTATATCTTAATCTTAATATTAATCTTAACCTTAATATTAACCGTAATCTTAATCTTAATCTTATTCTTGAATCTATATATTAATACGATAACATGAATTTTGTCTCCGTTCGTTTGGTGATTCTACCGAACCGATTTCCAAACCAAGAACACCATTGGAAAGGCATTTTTCTGTAGACTTTTTATGGTTTCAAAATTGGTTGAAAATTACGGCCTAAACCGTCGTTTAAACATTTCCGTATTTGTGTACAGATGTTGCTGCAACATGTTCAATTTGACATGTTTCGCCAGTTGTTTCACTTCGTATTTGAAACTAAGCTTTGAAGTAAAGATAAATATGAAGATGAAGAAAGAAATTATAACGATGAAGTTAAAAAAAAGAAGACAAAAGTGAAGATAAAGACGAAAATGGAGACAATGACAGACACATGAGAATTAGGGTAAGAAAATTTCTTGACTTTTTGAAGTGCAACTTCTTTAGCGGCAGTTGGTTGGTTGGGAGTAAATTGCCCAATTCAAGGGGAATAATGCACACGGAAATGGTTCTTAGCGGTTTAGCGGTTTGAGAATAAAAACAAAAACAAAGATGCCTAGAGATAAAGGCAAAAACGAAGAGCAAGGTAAATTTAAACACCTTAAGGTAAAGGTGAAGAGGAATATGCAAAAATAAAGATGAAGAAAAGGATGAGGATGAAGATCGATATTGTTATCGATATAAAACACAATATGTTATCGATAAAATAATTTATTTTGTTATCGATACTGTTATTGATTAAATAACCGCCATTTTAATCGATATAATAATCGATATTGTTATCAATACAATTATGAATATTGCTATCTGTATAATAATCGATTAGATAATTGATTTCGTTATCGATTTAGTGTATAATAATTGATACTAATAAATGTGATATTTATCGATGAATTAATCGATTTGGCAATCGTTATATTTTTCTATATGTCTATGGATATTGTTACCGGTATTTTTTATCGACACAGTTATCAACAGGGTTATCGATATAATAATCGGAACATGGAATGTGATCACATTACATGACATCACATCATATTATATCACATGATATGATGAGACATCACATGATATTACATCACATAATATGATATCAGATCACACGATAACACGTGACAAGACATCATATGATATGACATCCCATTATATGGCATGACATCACAGGATATGACATCGTATGACATGACATGGCATTACATGACGTGGCATCACATGATATGACATTATATGGTATAGCATCATACGACATTACATCACAGGATATGACAGCACATGACATGACATCCTATCACATCACATAAAATCACGTCACATCTTATCACGTCATCACACCTCATCTCATCTACTTGAATAGGTAAAGAAAAGGATAAAAACAAAGATGAAGACCGAGGTAAATTTACCGATTTAAAAACCAAAAACACCGTTGGACAGGTAATTTTCTGTAGATGAGAAGAGTTTTTATAGTTTCGAAATTGGTTGAAAATCGTCGTTTAAAAATTTCCATATTTGTGTATGGTTGTTTCTGAAATTGGTTGATTCATCGAATCGAAGTTAATGGAATTTTCAAAGTATATCGATTTATCGAAATTTCAAGGTTATATAAGCTTATCGAATTATCACTGTAATGAGTTATCAAAATTTTTCGATAGCTTTCGAAAAATTTGGAGCTGTCAAAAATAAATATTTATAAAGGTATCCAAAAAATTTACATTTTTGAGTTATCGAAATTTATCGAGCCCTCGAATTTCACAGTTATCGAAATTGGTCGAGTTAACGAATTTCGGTGAGTTATCGCATTTTAGTGTTTTTGAAATTCATCGAACTATAGATCAAATCATTGAAATTTATCGATAAACTGGAATGTATCCAGTCAATTCCAAGTCCTGCCGAAGTCCAAAGACCGCATGACGCATCGTAAATCGAAACTTAACAAAAGTTTGTTGGGGCTGATCTCCGTGGTGCTTTTGTTTTGCGAAAATTCAGGTTCGTCAGTGACGTTCGATGGTTTGGGAAAATTGCGAATGTATTTAGACGATCTGAGCGTGAGGCCACATTGTCGAATTGTCTCAAAGGCTTCTTGTAAAATAATCTTGCGTTTATTCACAGTTGGCGTTGCTGCGATCATTTCATCTACATAACTGATGACTTGGCCTCTGTGATCTTGATGTTAACTTGGTGATCACTTCCTTGAAATACATTGGTGCATTAACCAGACCAAACGACATGACGATGTACATTCCCACGACAGCCGGTTCTACGTACCGGAATGACTCGGGTTTTACCCGACCAAGGGCTGTTGTTTCGACGATCTAACCCCGTTTAAAATTTACACCTGCTGCGTATGCCAGAGACGACTGCATACAAACTCCACCTCGGTGAAGTGCAACACCTGTGACGGGTGGAGTCACCTCCGTAACCGCTCGGGCCTACGTACGCACCGGAAATGGACCACATCGTGCGTGGCCCCATGCTGTGCGGACCGGACCGCCTCCACGGCAAACCACCACCCGCCCGGGCAGCACACAAACAACACACCCACACCCCAACACAACACAACAATAGACACACAAATAAACACAATAGCACCCACACACCGCCGCCGGCAACTCCTAGTCCCTCCGACAATCTGCTCTATTTGTCAGTCCAGAATATACCGTAAATTAGTCAATTAGTACAACGCCTGAAGGTAGGGACTGCCAGGGAAAGCAACAGAAAGCCATAGAGAATATCGACACCGAGAGACAAAAATGGAAAATGGAAGTATCATCGAGCACATCAGCGCCTCCAACACTATACAACGAAGGTCAACTGGCAGTTACTGATTACATACCAACGCAACGGGAGGCACACACAGGCTTGATCCAAAAATTCAGGGGACCTTAAATCGTCACTAAATAGCTGGATAATGGCCGATATATTGTGGCAAATCCACTAGACGCGCCACGCACGTAACGACATTATTGCGTCATAGTCTCTAGCGACCATATGAAACTCTTTAAGTCCAGATCTGGATTACGACGAAGGGCATTGAAGTGCCGTTTGCCTCCCAACAATCAAAAAATTTACTTTCATGACATTTGAGATATTTTAGTCCTCTTGACCTCCGACAATAGAGAAGATGTTGGCAAAAACCATAAGCAGGGCAACGATAGTTTGAGAATCGAAACGATAAAGCCACATATGTATATCCGTGGACATTTGACTATGCAACTTAAGTCTGTCGTTCACGGACATACAAAATAGCGTATGTCGACAAAACTTACTTCACCGTCAAAGAGAAAAAATTTTGCAATTCGAAAGAAATTTTAAATTATTTTATCGCTATTTGCAACAACTGCATGTTTTCATTTAAATAAAAATGATTGCTTTGACGGTAAAAAGAGCTTCGCCGACATATGCTATTCTTTGTCCGTGAAAGATAGACTTAAGTTGTTTTGTCAAATGTCCAGAGATATTTAGCTCGGTCCATTATCTTTAATTTAATTGTAAATAGTTTCCTTCCATTTGGATTTTTCACGCCGGGTTTTGTGCTTGACAAAAAATAACGTCTCCGCTTCGAACAGTGTCGCAACGCTTAATACCAGCTTTCTTGCATACATATTGGTATATCGACTGATAGCTATTTATAGTAAAGAATTGAGTACATATACATATATATTTTATTTAAAAATTGGTTAGCTTTCATTTCGAATGCAGTTATATTTGCGATCATTCAAAAGTAAAATGTCGTTGCAGGCAGTCAAATTTATATCACCGATACTGCAGGCGCAAAGGTTTCCAAGTCAAACGATGCTTAATCAATTCATTTAAAATATCCCTTTTAGGTTTTTGTCGTTAAATGTTCGATATACACAAACTTCTACAAACACAACTTCTACGTATATGTCGGATGTAAGTACAGTCACCACAAAAGAGGAAACAAAACAACATACGGCTAGCGTACAAAAGGAAATTGATCATCATGCAAGCTTATCTTCAACCTGGTGGGATCTAAATGGTCCCATGCACGGATTGCACAAAATGAACGAGACAAGGTATAATAAATTGCGAGTAATCACTGTAAAATAATTTCATATGTATGTAAAATAATTAGGTGCATATATAAGAATAAGCACATGTGTATGTAGGGTGGTGCAAAAATTCATGTGAAAAAGTAAAGTCGAAATTTTAATGATGTCACCCCCTAGAATTGTTCTATATCGAAAAAAATACCCCTGTTTTTTTATTTCGAAACCAAAAAATATTTAGAGGTCGCTCAAAGCGCTCAAAGTTTTCCATGTATTTTATATGGAAAAAAAAATCGATCGAAAACTTCAGGAGACCTCCAGTAATAAAACCCAGCTGTTTATTTTACCATTTTTTAATACTAGCAGCGTGTTTTTTTTTTGGGGATTTTTAGGATACCTATAAAAGTTAGTTAATATTAAAAAATGTTCAAAAACTTTACTTTGGGCTTTACTTTTTTTTTGGAGCACCCTATTATACATATAGTATGTACATACATGCCTATATAGCTACATTTCTCCAGAGTGCCTTTCGTGCGTGACGGTTTGGTGGCCCATGATAACAGCGACAAGAGTTTAATTAATACAAGCAGGGTTTTGCAAGATACGGATTTATTGGAAGTGGGTTGCGGTGGTGGCATATTGATTGAAGCACTGGCATGCATAGGTGCCAATTTAACGGGCATTGACCTGGGCGCAGACGTCATAACAACAGCACGAAAACATTTAGAGCAACATTTTTCGGAACTAAGCGATCGCATAACTTACAAAATCGAACCAATAGAGGTGCACGCCAAATTAAATCGGAATCATTACGATGCTGTAATATGCTCGGAGGTTTTGGAACATATTGACGACAAGGAGGAATTTCTTACACATTGTATCGAGGCCTTAAAGGTACACATATACATACATATTAGTTAGTTCTCCATAATTTCCCTTTGTCCCATTTCAGCCGGGGGGCTCAATATTCATAACAACTTTAAATAAAAATATTCCCACATCTCCTCATCAGACTTCTTTTTCTAGACTTCAGCAGGGATCG